TCGTGTAGTCCAAGCCTTTTCCTTTATGTTCCCCACTAAAGAATCTCAAAGGACCAAGAGAAAACTAGCAAGGTTTGTGTTGACCAAGGGAGGAGAATAACACTGGGACAACTCCAAGCTCCTTAAATTCCTACTGTCAATTCAGAACACATCACTTGGACCCAGATGCTACTTTCAGATAACAGCAGATGCCGTGAGGTGGCAACACCTGCCACTGTAGACAAGCACGAAGCAAACTTCCAGCGCTGACATGTTGCACCTACAAAGGCTACCTGAGCCCCAGCCCCAAATGTGGAGATTGGCTGTTACTTGGAAAAAGAGAAGACCCCCACTCATCCCACTGTGCTTCTGGGCAGGAAATGGAAGGAAGGATGGACTCAGGCCATTAGGAGTCACCCAAAGCCTACCAGGCTGCTCTGCAACTCCGGGACCTGAGCTCATCAGAGAATCCACCCAGCAGGACATCAGAGGAGTCCACTCCTCTGCTTTTCAGGGGCCAGAGGTCAAGAGAAGCAGAGGCTCTTTCATAAAGGCAGTGAAAAGAGGTGGAGAGCCACAAATCCGAGGTTCTATCCCCATCTCTGCCCCCAAATGGCTATGTAACCTCTCACAAATCATTCTTTTCTCTGAGCCTCAGTTTCTCCACCTGGAAAAGGAAGTCACATGATCCCCCCCCCCAGGGTCTTTCCAGCTGTCACACTCAGCCTCTCCCTGGATCTCACAGGCTGACTGACCTCCTTCTCCCCAGAACACTCCATGAGGGGAATCTCTATCAGACAAAGGCAGCCAAAGAAGCCCTTCAGAGGGATTCCAAGAGAACAGTGAGAACCATCCACTTCTCCAATCAGTTCACCAAAACACACTCCTGTATCTATGGATGGCGATGTAGAGTGTGTGCTGAACTGTGTATATTTAATACCACATGCTTCACTGCTCTGTACCTGGCCTCTGCACTCCATTTCTCCTGTCAGGGGTCTAAAATGGAAATAAACTCTCTGTGAATAACCGATAATCTTGGTTTGGGAGTGTGGTTACTATGATTGAAGTGTGTTCATTTGTTTTGAACTTTGAAGAGACTCTGTTCCCTTCATTAAGCCAATACCCCCTCTGCAGCAGCACAGCTTTTAGTACCTGGAGGTCATCCAAAAGGAGGTAATGAGGAAAGAAATTGCTTCTCAGAGCCTGCACATTTCTTTAACAGTCTGCCAGTTAAGTCTTTGTCCTTCAAGAGTTCATAATAGCATGAAGATGCGATCATGTCCATGTAGGTTTTCCATGGGCAAAAGGAATTGTATGTCATAAAAGGAATCGAGATTTAAGTATCATGGGAACTTAGAGGAAGGTGTGGTTTTACATAGATAGAGGGGGTCAGAATCATGGTTTTTCATGGGCTTCAAAGGATTCACAAGGAGATGGGAGGAGAGGAACAGAGTGGGAGAAGTATCAAAGCAAGAAAGCAGGCCATGATTAAAATGGAAGCAGTGCGCTTTAGAAGACTGGGAAGAATTTTAAAAGCTATCCTCTGGACTCTGTCCTATAACCAGAAATTCTCTAAGTTTGGGGTATATTAGAATCACCCCAAAGGTGCTTGTCAAAAATGCAGAGTGCTGGGTCTCACCCACGGAAATATCTGGATTCCGTAGGTCTGAAGGTGGGCATCATGGTGGAGAAAGAGGATGGGCTAGAAGTTGAGTTGTAGAGAGCAATTGGGAAGCAATTGCCACCACCCTGGTGTGAGATGGAGGCAAGCTACCAGACCTAGTGCTGCAACAGCATAGACAAGGGGTAGAGGCAGTTTAAGTCAGTTTATGTGTTGTGTTCAGCGGAGCTTGGCCTATGGCATCCCTTGAGACAGTACAAGCATAAGGGTACAAAGGGTGACACAAGTTAACTGAGAGTGAGGGCTTTCCCCTGGACACATTCATGCTTTGCCCTTGGGGTTTGGGTTTGGGTCATGGTGGACCATGATACAGTGGACTTTATAATGTAACATAAAGAGACACTGAGGTTACATGGAGACCACATTGTGACACGGAGTGGGGAAGATATTTTACCCTACTTCTCCTAGTGATTTACCACCAGATTAGTGACTGATTAAATATGGGGATGGAAGAAAAGGGAGGCAATCAGCACATGGTTGGTGCAGATGTCAAGAGAGGTCTGCAATAACAAGGGAAGAGGGTGGGTGAAGTCAAGAGGCCAGGGCTTAGCTTCGCTGAGTTTGAAGAGTTTATGAAACACAAGTAGGCAGTAAAGAGTAGTGAATGTCAAAGAGGGGGCAGATTTAAAGACAATGACATGAAATTCATAAACATAGAGGTGGGAGTAGCATATAATCGACTAGAAATGGACAGAAGAAAAAGAGGACCCAGGGGCTGAGCAAGGCAGACACCATCATAGAAGGCATGAAGAAAAGTCCCATGAGAGAAAGGAAGAGAGACAGAGAGAATGGGAAGGATTGGCTCCTTAAAAAGACTTAAAGTGCTTAGAAGCCAAGGAGGAAATAATTGCAAAGAGGGGTTGTCTTAACCACTCTTTTCATTTCTGGAGAAAATAATCTTCACCCATAACTTAAAGAAGGAGAAGATTATTTAGGTTTACAGTTTGTTGAGGTTTCAGTCCATAGTTGGCTGGCTCCAACGCAGAAAAGGCATGGAGGAAGGGTCTGGTGAAGAAAGGTGCTCACATCATGGTGTCCAGGAAACAGAGTGAGTGGAGGAGCAGGGAGGGAGATGTAAGCTTCCAATTCATGCCCACAGTGACCCACTTCTTCCAGGCTGATCTCACCTCCTGACAGCAAGCCAGATGTAGTTCTCTCATGATCCAATCACCTCCCAAAGCCACTCACTGAACACGTGAGGCTTTGGGGGAATATTCTAGATCTAAACTATAACCAGGACAAAGGAATCAACAGCATGTAGCAGCTCGAGGGTCCAGGGGAATAGAGCCCAAGACTTTCTAGTCATCCAAGAAGGATTATCCAGGAAGCAAACTCCTTGACTGTGTTTCGGGTCTTTCACAACTGTTTATCCCTTCTCCTTGAATATCTTCTCCCTCCTTTTCTCCTTCCAGCCTTTTCACTCCACCTACAAAAGGCCTTTAAACTATATCAAAAGACAGGAAACTGCCCTTGCATCCTGTATTCTCCATGGCTTACAGTAAACATTATATGCACAATTCTTCAGGTTTTGATTGCTTAATATCCACACATCTTTTATTCTTACCACAATACTTAACTCTTAAAATGTTTCCAGACCTTGGATTCTGTTTCGCTCTTTCAAAAGCCATAACCTATCTGCCTTTCACTTCAAGTGATAGAAACTTCCACTTCCATAGTTAGGGAGCAGAGGGCAAGGAGAATTCCCGAGGATGAAGAACATACCAAGAACTGTATCCTCTCATATATGTAAACATCACTGTCGAAGTTCTATTTTGGGCCCCAGAGCCATCTATGAGTATAGTTCTATTAAATATTCACATGGCTACTTTATTTCCAAGTATGTAAGGTATGTGATACTTTCTTCTTCTAAATCTATCTCCACAGGACGGGGAGAGTTGTGAAGACTGAATGTTCACTCCTCTTTGCAGAAGCTTGACTGGGGATGAGAGGAGAAGGAAAGACTTTGGAATGAAAGGGAGTCAAGGATACGGAAGATGATTTTTGAAATGAAAGCCTGATCGAGTTTTAGTGGTATAGGAGAAGAAGATGGAAGATACAGGGGATTGGTGACAAGCCCCAAGGCCAGGTCACTAAGCCTGTGGAAGTAGGGACATGCAGAATGCATAATTAGCTCTGAAAAAAAGAACATTTACAGGGAGAAGGACACAGTGGGGAAGACAGTCATGGAGTTCCCAGCAACGGGCTCTGAGCCTCTGCTGGGAACAAAGGCAGGGCATTAGCTCGGGGCAACTGGCTGACAGCAGATGAGATGATGCTGGAGGATGCTTGGGATGTGGTCAAGGGTGCAGCACATTTGTCTGTGATTTAACTCAGCCTGGTGATGTCTGGGAACTGCCCGCATCTGGAGGTGATTTGAGCACCCTGGGGAGGCACAGAGTTAAGAGTCAGTGGAGCTGGCCAGGGTAGGACAATCTGGAGTGGAGAGTCAGGAGATCCAGAATTATAGCTTTGCCACTAATTCATAGAATAGCTTCTGGGAAGTCCATTTCTTACTCAGTTTCTTTTGCTATACAAGAATTACAGACTCCAGTCTCTGAGGGTTACTCAGATCTGTGTGTGTGTGTGTGTGTGTGTGTGTGTGTGTACAAGTCAGTGGAAAACAGGGCAGAGCTGATACATTCTTGTTATGGGGTCACAGAAGTTCCTGCAGGTAGCACACAAGGCTTCTTTACTAGTCTGGACACTTCCATTTCTAAGTGACAGAATCCCAACATAAATAGCACAAAGGGAAAGAGAAAGACAGAGAGTGTATAGGTTCACAGAACTGAAGAGGCCATACCAAAAGTCTTCAGGGATGATTAAGCCAAAAGACTCAAATATCAGATACAACCTCTTTAGCTTCCCCTCTTACCCTTCAGTTCCACTTTCCCCTGGATCAGTAGCATTATTCGCATCAGATGTTCCATGAAGTGATCGTTAGCAGACCTGGGCTCGTGGCCAGCAGCGTAGCAACCCCCCGGAGAGAATTGCTTTCTCTTTCTCTAATATGTTTAACATAACTTGCAAGCCACCCTTTCATTGGCCTGGCCGAGGTCACATCCCATCCCTCAGCCATGGCTGTGACCAGGAAGTCCAAGGCTTTGATAAGTCACTTCCTTATCCCTGAAACCAGAGATGAGGTCAGTTCACCTCAGGCTACTTACACCCGCAATGGAAAGTGGGAACCCCCCAAGAAAAATCAGTATGTGATTATCAGAAGGGGCAACCAAAGCTGGGAGATCAAAAGGAACAGATGCTCCTGACAGAGTCCTGAGCTGGTAACCTTGACAGTGGGTGCAGTGGAGCCCAGAGTGATCTATGCTCCCTCCTTTGGCTGCAGTGTGTGGTCTCCCCAAGATTTCCCGGAAGCAGATAGCCAGAATCTTCAATGGACACCCAGCTGAGAAGGGCACCACTCCCTGGATTGCCATGCTGTCACATCCAACTGATGTGCCCTTCTGTGGAGGCACCCTTCTAGGTAAGGAGAAGGTGGAGTGGTGGAAGACAGGGTTGGGACAAGGTGGAAGCTAGGATGCGTGATTTCCAGAAGACTGGCCAAGTTTCTTTGTTGAGAATCACTGTTCACAACAGCATCAGGGCCCAGAAGTATGATGTGGAAGAAAGAGCCCTTAGCTGGAACCAGGAGCTGCGCATTCCTGCCCAAACACTTCCTGAAGGACGAGTCAGAATTAGAATGCCCAACATAAATCACAACACAAGGCCAGGAGCTAGGACTGCAGGAGAACCAAGAAGTCACGGGAAGCATAGTGAACAAAGGTAGACTTGAACACCACGCTTAGGAATTTAGACCTTATTCTGGACACTGCTGCAGGCTTCGATACATGTTCTAGAAAGTTCTCTCCAGGCGCAGCCTGGCCCAAAAGAAGGGAATCTGGAGGCCAGCAGTGCAATGGTGGAGAGTCATTAGTGTCAAAATAAGAACAGGACTGGAGGGATAGAAAGAAGGGAGCAGATCCAAAAGCTGTTTAAAATTTTCTTCTCTACTCCCAGCTAAGCTTTACCCTCCCAAAGCTCCCAAAGCTTATTCTGTGAGCTCTTTCTTCCTGTGGAGGGAGACAGAGAGAAAGAGATGAAGGTAGAAGAACCTAGAAAGAAGGAGAAGGGTCAAGAAACTGCCAGAGCACTAGGTCATTGCCTACACTGAGGCTGGATAGAGGGATTGGCAGAGCTGGGAGACACAGCTGCGTCTCTGGACTGACCAGTGCACCCCTGGCTCATGTACATGGCCCAGATCCCTGCTTCGGATCTGCCCACCTGGGAAACCCACCACCAGCCTCTTGCCATTGACAACACACAGTCCTTGGTCTGTGTGAAGCTCTACCCAGAAGTGGGAGCCTGAGCACATAGCTACTTCTAAGTGGAGCTTGGAACCTGCTCCAGAGAAGCACCTCTGCCTCTGGCTCTGAACTAATACCTGGTGCCCCTGACTCTTTCCCTCCGAGCCCTAGAGCCTTTCTTGTTTGGCTGGGCCTGGGTATGGCACAGGGCTTAGTTTCCTATGTCATCTGCTACACTTAAAGGATGGCTAGAGGCCTCACCCTGTGTTAAACAAAGAGCAGAAACATATCTATCCAGGGGAAAAAGATAGCTAAGACACAGGAAGTACCCTAGGCTGAACACCAGGAGACCCGGAGGTGCTAACCTGCTGTGTCCATTCCCACACTGCTTTCTTGTCTATCAAAGAGAAGTCTAGCCTGGACCATATTTCTCAACCCTGGCAGGTGCAGAATTACCTGAGGGAACCTCTAATGCCTGGGCCCTACCCACATAACTTAAATACTCCTGACTTTTTCCCAGTTCCCCAGGTAATTCCAGTGTTCAGCCATGCAAACAGCTACTGACCATTCTACTCAGTAGTTGCCAAACTTTAATGTGCACAGGAATTATCTGGGGTCTTGCTAAGGTGCAAGTTCTGATTTGTAGATCTGAGGTAGGCTTCAGAGTCTCTGTTTCTGAGGAGTCCCCAGGTGATGCTTGTACTGCAAGACCATGGACCACAATTTGAGAAAGAAGACTAAGAGGCAGCCAGAGAGTGAGGGGTCTTCATTAACCCATCTTGGGCTGTCTGGCTCTTACTCTACACCATGGTTTTAAGGAAACCCTGAAACCTTCTTTAAAATGTTCAGCCCTGGCCTGGGTTAAAATGGGCAGATGCAATCACTCCTCATCTTCAGATTAATATCATAGAAGTGTCTGACATGGGGCCATGACGTGCAATGGAGGGGGTGTGGCTGTTTTCAGGGTCTTCGGAGGAGCCTTGATGGTGTCTTAATGTCCTCACCTTGAGACGGAGGTAGGCAGGACACGGCATGCATATGTTCTGCTCCCCAGGCCTTGACTGGATTGTGACGGCTGCTCACTGCCTCCACCACCCAGTGGACCCAGAGGACCCAAGACTACACCCCTCACACCTACTCCACCCTTCTGACTTCAAAATCATCATGGGTGAGTGAGGGGAAAGCTGCCTCCTGAAGCCAGTTTTGTGGTTCTGGGAATGAATTTCCACAACTGCCTCTTTCCTTTACAAATTCAAGACTGCCCCCCGATTCAACTCAGTTTAACCTGCTTACCTGCCAACACTCAGCCAGGATCTAGGGACACAGCATAATCAAGACCAAGTTCCTGCCCACCAGGAGCTTGCAGTCTAATAAGGGAACACGATACAGGTGCAGAACTCCCTGTGGAAAGGTGGGAAGCAGAAAGTTCTCTAGGAGAGGGACAGAGAAAGTGTCCTGGGAGGTCATAGGGGAGAGACTGCTAAGTGAAGTAGCTGGGAGGCTTCACGGAGGGAGCAACATGTATCCCAGGCATGGAAGGGTGATTACAAGGCTTTGGCTGTGGCAACAGACATAAGAGGAAGCATTCCGAGGCAATGGGGCAGTTCATGAAGAAAGACAGAGGAGCAACCTATGAGAATACGGGGGTGTCACAGGCAAGGAGGCATAGCTGGGTGAAGGGCAATGAAAGGGTTGAGGGCAGAAGCAGGTGCTGGATGGGAGCAAGAGCAGGCAGGGAGCGAGATGTGGTCTTTCCCTCCACTTCCCTCATGCCTCACGTGCCATCTCCTTGCCCAGGCAAGCACTGGAGGCTCCGGTCAGATGCAGATGAACAGCATCTCCGGGTCAAGCAGGTCATCCTCCACCCCCTGTACAACCCCAGCACCTTCGAGAATGATGTGGCCCTACTAGAGCTGTTGGAGAGCCCAGTGCTGAATAACTTTGTGATGCCCGTCTGTCTGCCCGAGGAGCCCTCGCAGGAAGGTACCTCCCCCACCCCGACCCCACCTCTGCAGAACAGCCGGGCCTTCGAAGGGAGTCCTCCAGCCCTGCAGAGGCTCTGGTTCCCCGTGAGTCAGCTGCTGGATGGGGTCTGCATGATTCCCCAGCTGCCTCCTCTAACACAGCTAGGACACAGCCTGTTCTGAGGACGAACAAGCAGAGTGAGGCACATAGCAAACAGGCAGGATGAAGGGCCCAGATGGGAAAAGGAAAGCAGACTGTTGACTGTAAGAGAGAGTTTAATATAAGGTATAGGTGGGCTAAATAAGTAAAAGGGAAATGCTGGGATGATGGAGATGCCTGCAATAAGAAGCTACCATCTCTAGGCATGGGGGAACAGAAATAAGAGACTGTACTTACAGAACCTACCAACTTGACAAAGTGACCCCTAAAGCCAGAACTCGTGCTTCTGCAGAAGATGCTAATGTGCTACGGAATCCAGCTAGGACGAATTGCCACTGCGGTGGAGAAGAACCACTGCTAGATTGAAAGTCACCATATTTTCAGGAAATGGGTGCACGGAAAACTTCCATAACAGGGTCTCATCCCTAACACCAAAAAACAGAACAGAAGAGTAAGTCCGTAACTGAGGGACAGTAGCTTAATAACGAGCACAAGTTCAAATGCCATTATTGCATTTCCTAGTTGAGTGATCTTGAGGATGTTACCTGACCTCATTAAGCTTCAGTCCCCTTACTTCTAAACTGGAGGCAATATTCCTTGGGGTGGTTGTGATATTTGAATTAGAAAATAAAAACAACACATATCTAACACTGAGTAAGAGTCCCGTCCAGGCCAGCTGGCTTCCTTTTCATTCTCAATGCAGTATTGCCATATCATAATTCAATTCCTTTAGCTCAAAGATGTAAAAAATTGCTTAGATGGATCTGAAAGGTATTTAGAGGAATTGAGCCATCAAGAAATGTGGAGGTATTGCTAAGCCCAATTAATTGAGTGCCATGTGCTTACTATGTGCCAGTTGCTTTACATTCATTAACTTGTTTACTACTCATGAAAGCCCTGCAAGGTGGCACTGTTGAACAATTTTACAGATGGGGAAAGGGAAGTTCAGCACAGTGAAAGAAATCACCCCAGACACTTCAGACCCAGTGCTATGTTAAATATCCAGGCTCCTTCTCAAATAAGAGTGTAATTGCTCTGTCAGCATCCAACCAATTTCCATTCCCCCCAGATTTACCAATTGCATAGGCTCCTAGAATATCAGAGCTGGAAGAGATTTGGGAGAATACCAAGTTCAGAATACCTCCTGGTTTTATGGGTAGAATGACTGATGTTGAGAAGCAGAGGAGAGGAGAGAAGTCTAGCTAATAGACAGCACAGCACGTTGTTGACTAGGCTGGGCTTTTTGTCTATTCACAGTTATTAATTGAGCATCAATTATACATCAGCACTGTACAGGCATGGAGATGCAGTAGTAAACTAGAGAGATGGGTTATTGCTTTCACACAGTTTAGGTTCTGTGCTAGTTGGGGTGGGAGAGAATAGACAAATGAATCCAGCGATACAGCATAGAAACATGCAGCCTGGTCTGGGGCAGGTAGGTCATTCCAAACCAGCAGCCTTTCCCATCTTCTGCCCATCTTGCTGCCCTTCTCTGGGGTGGCAAACCCAGCCCTTTCTCTACAGGAAGAAGACAGTGGAGCTCTGCAAACCCCAAACACTGTCTCTCTGTTCTCAGAGTGTCTTCTCTCCTCCAGGAGCTGTGGTCATCGTCAGTGGCTGGGGGAAGCAGTTCTTGCAAAGATTCCCAGAGACACTCATGGAGGTGACATTGCATTGTCAGGGATTTGAGGGCTTGAGCAGGGGTGGTGGGAGAGATGCTGGGGCTCCAGACTCATCTCCAAAGCTCAGTGGAACTTGGCATCCCGGAAAGCTTGATTTGTTTGTTTCACAGGTCATGGTTGCCAAACAATGTTCATTGTCTCTGCAGCTTGCTAAAGCCTTGGCTAGTGGAATTCTCCCCAACACAGCAGGTTTGGACACTCCAGAGCCTCATAGTTCACCTCTATACCATGAGGACTACACACCAAGTTAGACAAGAGTGGGCCAGTTCTTGAGAACCACAGCCCTTGCAGAAAAAAACTTGACAATTGCATTTAGTTCACTTTCCTATCATTTAAGGAAAGAATGCAGAACTAAGCATAGCAAGTCATGTTTTCAAGTTCTGGTTTCTACTTCTTTGCTGAGTTAACCGAAACAAAGTCCTGTTGCTTCTCTAGGCCAGAGTGTACAATCTCAAACTGCAAAGTTAGGGGCAATACTAGATGCCCCCTAAGAACTGTTTTGTTCTGACACTGCCAGGTTCCACAGTGTGGGCCATTTCTAAATACTTCAACACACATTATTTTGACATACTGTAAAAGTCTGGATTTGCAACAGCTATTCATCTTTTCATTTGTGAATGCCCAAGTGTTTATCTCATGTCTACTGTGCACTACTTGGAGTGCAGAGGCATAAAAAGACAGATCTGGTTCCTGACCTCCTTGGGCTTAGGTTCAGAAAGAGTGGATGGGACAAAGATGATGAAGGAGAAGTAGAGGATGCTCTGCAATACGCAGCAAGGAATCTGATTTCACCTTTGGGGTTCAGGATGGCTCCCCAAAGGATGTGACACTTAAATGACACCTGAATGATGAATAGAGGTTAATCAGAGATTTGACACAATTCTAGGACATATCCTCATGGTATGGTTCTTCTCCCTACCTCTCCAAGGAAGCCATGCCCCAAGAAGAATCTGAAGAGCCTCTGGTCCCTCTTCACAAGGGCCAACAGAAGATGCACATTTGGGGCACATGGTCCAGTCAGTTCTTGGTTCAGCAGAATGAAAATCACCTGTTCCCTTTTATTTCAAACACTTATTCCAACATTCACCCCCCATGTCAAATCAAAAGCACTGATAATCAGAATCCCTCATTTTTATGTAGCAATGTACCACCTGGATGCAAATATATTTCCTAGGCACCTACTATTTTCCAAGTTATGTAGGGCAGAATGAGCAAGATACTGTTTTAGTGCCTAGAAGCCCATCCTTTAGTGAGAGAGAACAACACAAGTGAATGCTTGCTACGAATAACCAGTGAGACTCTCTAAAGAACCTAATATTATATAGCACTGTACAGTGTCTGTAATTCACAAAGCACTTGCTCGTCCATTTCCTCTTTGTAAAACTCTATGGGATTAATATACTAAATATTATGACTTCCATTTTTCTCATGAGGAAACAGAGTCTCAGAGATCTGAGAAACAGTGATTAAGCCACATGTCGTGGATCCTAGAACTTCAGGGCCCACTTAGGGATGGGGGAAAGAAAATGGACCGTGGCTTTTATATATATCGTCACATTTAAAATAGTGGATGTGGTAGGCAAGTACTGTTGTCCCCATTTTGCAGATGAGAGAACAGAGCCCCAGAGCTACTGGTCCCTTGCAAGTTATTTGTGCAAGGTCATACAGCAAGAGACTACCACAGACACGGGCTTCCTGGTTCTCCATCCAGCTGTTCCTTCATCTGTAACACAGGGCAGTTTCAGAGCCCAAGTCCACGGTAGATCCAGGGCAGTTCCAAGACTCAGAAGAGCAGGGCTCCTCAGCCAGGCTGGGGACCAATGCTAGTGTTGTATTCCAGATCGAAATCCCGATTGTTGAGCACCGCACCTGCAAGGAGGCCTATGCCCCATTGAAGAAGAAAGTGACTGAGGACATGATCTGTGCTGGGGAGAAGGAAGGTGAGTCAAGAAGATGACACATAAGTTGGACCTTGGGTGGGGAGTTGGGAGCAGCCAGCAGGAGAGGACTGGAGATGTCCGGTCCTAGCAGGCTGCTGGTGGGGTGGTGGTCAGATTGTGGGGCACAGACTCCATTACACAAAATGCATCAGAGAGAGGAGGGCTGAGAATTCCCTTTGCTGCACCAGCGCTTGCTGAAATCTGTGCTCTCCGGAAGCCAGCACTAGCAAACTCAGAACCGGGTTTGCGTCACGAGGTTTGCTGTGCCCTCTAGCGCCTGATTCTCTGAACTACAAGTCAGACGTGGCAAGGGAGAAGCCTTTGGATTTGAGCTGGGGAAGGGAGCTCGTTAATCTCATCTCGTTTTCATCTAGGTGGGAAGGACGCCTGTGCGGGCGACTCCGGAGGCCCCATGGTGACCCTGGATAGAGAGAGAGGCCGGTGGCACCTGGTGGGCACGGTGTCCTGGGGCGAGGGCTGTGGGCAGAAGGACCGCTACGGAGTGTATTCCGACATCTACCACAACAAGGGCTGGATCCAGAAGGTCACCGGGGTGACGAACTGAGCCAGCTCCTCAGCCCAGCACCACCTGCACGGGCAGGCAGCAGCAGAGGACGGTCGGGCATCAGATGCAAGCAGCCGTTTCTCCTGTCGCCCACCGCCTACCCTGCCCTTCAGCCAACCTACTGCTGCATAATAGAGGGAGCATTCCTGCACCCTTTTTCTTCCCTCTTCAGGGAGGCAGAGTGGCAGAGTGGTCAGAACCCAAGACCGAATCCAGGCTCTCTCACTTAGGACCCTTGTGCTGCTGACCAGCTGACTTAACTACTTTGAACCTGTTTCTTGGTCCCTAAGATGCACATGGCACACCTTATCTACCTCTTGAAAGTCTGATGAAGATGAAATTAATTAATTCATCCATAGCACTCAAAGCAGTGCATGGCCTAAACTCAGTAAATGTGACGAAGGAGATGATGAAGTTCTCTTACAAACCCCCGGGGATGATCAGTCCCCCTCTGATCATCTCTTTTATGTGCCCCCTAGTGCTCTAGGGTTTGGTTTGGGTTTTGCCCGGTATAACTCTCCCAACCCCAATCCTAGCCCTTCTTCCATAAAAAGATAAAATACACAAGGCCCTTAGTCCCATGGCATGGGCCACAACAACATAATTATGCACTTTAACTCAGTACCAAATTGTAAGGGGGACCGAGAATGGCCGGGGCCAGGAGGGAGACAGAGATAGTGGATTGGAGAGCACACCTAATGCTAGAACCAGCTCTGTCCTCAGCTTGCCATGCGGCCTCACGTAAGTTCTTTTTCCTCATCTTAAAGGGCCCTCTCAGCTCTGACAATCCCAGATCCAAAGCAGCCGTATGCTCCCTGACATGACTTAAAACTAAAGTAACCCGGGCCGGGGATTTAGCTCAGTGGTTCTGTCGCTTGCCTTGGAAGCACAAGGACCTGAGTTCGATCCCTGGTACCAAAAAAGCAAAAAATAAAAAATAAAAAAAATAAAGTAACCCTCAGGCAAAAATTTCGCTAGGTTCAAAAAAGCTTTGATGCAAACAAAATGCTGTTTCTGCTCCTGCAATTCACCCCTACCCCATCCACCCTACCTGGTCCCAAAGGAGCAGTCCAGGCAACATGTAGTCTATGGGTCTTTCCTTATTCTTGAGCAGAGTATCTTTCCTGAGTCCAAGCAGAGCACCTCTCTCATCCAAAACACTTCCTTTCTCAGGGAGCTTCCAGAGAACTCATCCCCTCCAAAGCTCTAGAAGCTTTTCAAGAGATCAGAAGCCCCAAGTGCCTGTCTTCTTTTCCTTTAGAACTGCTTTTCTTGGAGGACATTAGCTCTTGACTAACACTACAGCTGCTAAGTTGTTCTGAGTCTATTACTGAAGGGGAAAGATAATAGGAGCTGAGAGTTGATAGGCATTAGACTCTCTGCCAAACACTTGGAGACAGCAATTCATAGCCTGACCTAGTCGCACCTGTGTGTCCTGCTCTTTAGTTCCTAAAGGGGAGATGACAAAGAGGCCCAACTTCATTGAATATTTATTAAGCAAGCTGGTGCTCTATTTTAAACACCAAAGCAGAACTGTGATTGTGTTTGAAATTCCTCCCAAGGCATTCCAGAACACTATACCTTCCCATTTTGCACTACCTAGCTTCTCACCCAGTTCTAGGCTGTGCTGACTGCTGCTACAGGGGCTACTGTGATGAGAAGAGCATGATTCAGGCCTTCCAGGAGCTCCTAGAAGGAGCTGTGACAAATACTTAAGTGACTATGGCACATGGGAGTGAACTCTGCTGAGTGGTATGTTTTGAAGAGGCTTGAAGGTAGAAGAAAGCCCATTCTGGGGTGGAGGAGTTGGAAGGCAGTACCGGAAAGGCTTCCTGGAAGAGATGACCATGCTGAGGGTGGGCATTTCCACAGATGGGACACAGGCAGGTCTTCCAGATGGAAAGAGAGCAAGAGTAAATGTCAACGTAAGCTTCCTCAGATTACACCAGCTCTTCCCATGCAAAGGACATATGTATGAGACAGGTGTTCTAGGGTTAGAACAGACACCTGAAAGAGCCTTTCTCCTTCAGGTCTAGAATACTAGACTCGAAGAAGTTAAAGGACTAAGTGGGACTGGAAGCACCCTCAGGATTTATATGCAGATACTGACTTCTGACTGGACCCAGTTTGTCCTGCTTTCCTCCAATTGCAATTTCATCCGTACTCTGAGAAAATGACTGAATGGGCCAGGGACCCTCACTTGGCTTTGATCTGCAAGCATTTGTTAGATGGGCAGCTCCTGCTCTGCCCAGATCTCTCAGAGTTGCAGAGGACAGAGGTGTCTGTTTGGGTTCCTTTTCTACCTCCACGGCCTCATTCCTGGATGTCTATGGTGATGAGAAACTTGCTACCTTCAAGTGCAGCCCATTCCAACTTTAAAATGTGCTGCTGTCAACCAGGTCTCTCTTCTATGCAATCAAAATTTACATCCTTAGAATATAGTTAGTATAACCAAAGCTATAATTTCATACTGTGAATCCTGTTATTAGCAGTAATGATCACGCCTGGATTTCATTAGCAATAAAGATGTTCTTCTATTGGGAAACTGCACATTTCTTCTAATAAACATCTGCATTGAGTGAACGATCCTTGTTTAGTTTATATGTTTTTTCACGCATTGATGATTCTGATGAGTTGTTTTCATGTTTCAGAGTTCTGCTCTATTTGATTAGGATCACTATACCGTGAAAAAAGAGAGATTATGATAGGATATTTATGTTATAGAAACAAAACCCTGTCTTGGGTTTTTGAGGTCCATTCCATTTAAATACTCTGTACAATTATTCTTTTAAATTATCCAAATAATCCATAATGTCAACATTTTCTCCAACCACATCAGATTTCTTGAATGCCACCCACACTCAGAATAACAAAGATTTCCAGATCATGTACATATTCAATGTTTGGCTCTGAAAATGTGGCGCTATGACTGGCCTCTTCAGGGTTGGCGTGTAGATTCTCCCGTGCGATGAGTGAATCTTGTTTGTGGTGTTGGGGGAAAGTGACTCAAGGGTACACACCACTAAGAAGCAAAAGGTAGGAAAGAGTCAAGGAGTGAAAATTTCAACCACTCACATGACAGAAGTGTCCCCAATCTTGTCTAGAATGGCCCTTGAAAGCAATAGACTTTGGTACGAGTATAACGTAGGATGACTCCCTTCTCCTCTTAATTTTACCATCTATACACTGGAAGAATAATCTTTGCCTCCTTCTGTCTGAGACTGTTGAATCAGGTGAGTTAACAGGTAGGGAAAATTTTAGAGAAATCATCAACTTTGCCCAAATTAAAAAGGTTCTAAAGAAAATAATCACATTTTGAGCATTTACTATCTGGTTGAGATAGCTTTTACCCATATTCTCTAACTTAACCCTGACAACAACCTGTGATGAAAGTACCATTATTATCGCCACTTCACTGAAAGAGAGTAAAATTTAAAAAACGCGGCCCAATAGAAGCAGGAACACTGTAGCAGCAATGAGTATATAGTGCTCAGATCTCGGTTTCTGACATCATTCTCCAGTGAAAGTAACAAGGGGCTCTTCAGAGAGTGAATGACTCTGGGACTACGCAAGAAATAGACTAGATGAGCCTGGAGCATCATGCACTGCCAGAAAGTAAAAAAGAAGTCATCAAAGAACTTCTCAGTGGCAGAGCCATGAGAAAAGCACACAGGAGCTGACTGAAAGAGCTCTAGTAGTCAAATATGGAAACATTTGAGCAACAAAACAAATCAAGTGGCCTTGAATAATAACCCAAATTATAAAATAAATACCCATGAGTACATACTGATGTGAATGAACCCTTGAACAAATGCATAAATTGTGAGGATAGACAGGTCTCCCATGGAGAAGAATACCAAGTAATTTATGTGGTTACTCTGGCCTCAAGGAGAGGAGCGTAATTCCCCATCCCTTTGGTGCTGGTAGCACACAGTGACTTCTTCCACAGAGTATAGTATGGAAAGGAGGAAAACAGTAACTCTGCAGTGAAGACCCCTGACAAACACAACTTCAGCCAGGTGGCCAGGGTGAATGGGAACAGTGATGGCATATCGATGTCATGTGACCTTGATATGCTGCCCCCAAAACGGCTCTGCCCCCCTGTGTTCTCCCTCCTCAAACCCCATATCCCCAGTCTAGTCCTCAGAAACACATCAGATGAATTACATTTGAGAAATACTCTACAAAGCACCTGACCAACGCTCCTCAAAACTGTGAAGGCCATCAAAAACAAGGACATTATAAGAAATTGTCATAGCCAAAAGAAACCTATATTGGATTAAAGTGTGTCCCTCTCAAAAAATACACTGAATTCCTAATCCCAAGTGCATCTGAATGTGAACTTATCTGGAAATAGGACCATTGCAGATGTAATTAATTGACAAGAAGTCTTTATAGAGCAGGATGTGCCAATATGACTGGTGTTCACATAAGAATAGAAGAGACATAGCAACAGAGACACATGGGAGAATACAATGTGATGTAGGTAGAGAGAGGGTGCCAAGGGACACCAGGAGTCATCAGCAGACCACCAGAGGCTAAGGCTAAGGTAAGCAAGGAAGGATTCCCCAGCAAGTTTCAGAGGGAGCCACTTGAGTCCAGACTTCTAGACTTCACAACTGTACAATATTAAATCTCTGTTGCTTTAAGCCACCCAACTTGGGGTGCTTGGTTACAGCATCCCTAGGATATTAATGTAGGAAACACAACAACTAAATGTAATGCGCTATCCTGTATAGGATCCTGGAGCAGAAAAAAAGGCTTTAGGTAAAAACTAAGGAAATCTGAATAAAGTAAGGACTTTAGTGAGTTGTAGTCTATCAGTATTGGCTCATTAACTGTGACAAATGCACCATACTAATCTAAGATATTAATAATAAGTGAAACTGGTGTAGGATGCATTGGAAATTTTTCAACAATCTTCGTTACTTTTTGTAAATCTAAAACCATTCTAAAAATAAAACTATCTTTTAAAAATATTTGACCCAAGATCTCTCAGCTCACAGACTGAGGAACCAGTATTAGAAACCTGTTTCTGATGAATTCTGGAGCCCAAACTCTGACCTTTCACACCAGTGTTTCTCAAACAAGGGCTGCACACTAACGCTGGGGTCCCTCCCCTCAGAGATTCAAATATAAGCCATCTGGTGTCAGGCATGAGCATTGGGTTTTCAGAAGACACCCTAAGTGATTCTAGTGTGAACCCCACTTCAGAGCCACTGTTCTAAGCTATCTGCCAATATGTAACCCCTGAAGAATGATGGGAGCTTCTATTTCTCAGACTGGAGTCTTCAACTGGGGTGAGTCATCTGGTAAGAGACAGAATGAGAGGTCAGGTCTGCCAGCCCATGATCCAGAACTTTTTTGTAATTCTCAATAAAAACATCGTTGCTGAGACATTTCTACATTAGTGTTTTCCTGAAAAGAACAATGCTCTTTTATTTTGCAACAATAAACTAAAGGAGAACATTCCAGGAACTGGGGAATAGTACATGAGAAAGGGGGATATGAAGCCACCCTGGTTTTGAGGGGGAACTGAGGACAGTGTCCCTTGAGAGACAGACATGTTGGGTGAAAGGCTATCACACCTTTGGGAATAATCTAAGTGTAGAGTCATGAAAGCCCTGATGCTCAGCTTGGTTTGGGGAATAGGGAGATAATTAGGGTGGTTTTTTTAACCAAGAAGAGATGGTATTGCCTGTACCTTTCAAATAAGAAATTAATGCAGAGAGTGAACTTGAGGAGATCCAGATGGCTGAAGGTCAGCAGGTAGGAAACCGAATGGTCCTAATGAGGCCGGCATGCAGAGAAGAGAAGAATCTGCTTCTAGGGACTCTGAGAACATAGGGCTGAGTAGAAAGAAGCTACCAGATTCACAATCTTTGTGAACACTTCAGGGAGGATTAGAAGAAGAGAGGTAATGGAAAACAACAAAACCCAAAAGGATAACTTCTCCAGCTCCCTGGTATTTCTTGTTCTGCTGGCATCAATTCTTGCCTCTAGAAAGGAAGCATAGAGTACTATGAACTTGAGAGGAGGAAATAAACAGGGCCTTTGCAATGCTTTCTTGCATCTGGTACACATTGGCCTTTTCTTTTTCCAAACAGATCAAGAAAATGTCATTTGGAGGAAAAAACATAAGCCCAATTCCCAGCAATGAGCTTCTGATCACAGGGAGAAAGAGCCAGGGCCGTTTCAACATCTAGGCAGATCGTAAAACTTCCAAGGGAGTCCCCCAGAGAAATGAGTATTAGGAAAAAGCAGTGTCACAACAAAAGGAAGGTGTGTCAAGCCAGGGCATTGCCTAGAGCAAGCATGCTGCATGATGAATAGATCAGCATGGGTAGGAACGTGTCTCCCCACCAACAGCTGCTAGACCACTGCAAATTCAAGGGTTGCTATGGCTTGACTATGGGTAGTGTCTCCTAAAGATCCATATGTCAAGGGCTTGGTCCCAAGGGTGGCACTACTGGGAGGTAATGGAAACTTCAGAAGGTGGGGCCTCCTGGGAGGTCCTTAGGTAACTAAGAACCCACCCCCCAAAGGGGCTGGAGGATTCCATCCCTCCCCTCCATCTCCCTCTGTTTCCCAGCTCAAGATATGAGTCTTCAGTGTGACACATGCTCCCCTCCTTTGCCATCCACCACCCTCACCAGACCTGGGCCAGTACAGGCACCATGCCCTTGAACCTCCAGGACTGAGAGTCAAAATAAACCTCTGTGTACTTCATGAGTATCCTGTGTCAGGTATTTACCTGACACCCATAACTTAAAGGCAGACAGGTTTATTTTGGCTCATTGTTTCAGAGGTTTCAGGGTGTGATTGGCTGGCCCCGAGGCAGGATCAATCATGACAGAGGCCCATGGTGGAGCAAAGCTGATAATTTCACAGTGGCCAGGGAGCCAAGCATAGGAGAAAAGTGCCAGAGAGAAAGGAGCCAGGGACCAGCTATATTCACAAGCACCAAAGTCACACCTCCATGACCTACCCAGACATACCTGGAAATGTGCTCTATTAATCTCCTCAGTGGTTCCCAAGCCAATCAAGCTGACAATTAAGCTTATCACGCTCCACCCCTTGTCAATCTAACACCCAACACATCTCTTTAAAAAATACTTAATCTCCAAATAACACATTAACAAGTTACTAATTCTCCCTAATATGATGCAACCATACTCCATAATCAAAAACTGCAATAATCCCTTCCCCAAAGCCTCAACTGTCCCAGTCTTGCTCGAAAGTCTAAATTAAAGTTTCTTCTAAGACTCAAAGAAAATTCTTCTCTGTGAATCCCTGTAAAACTCAAAAAGCAAAGTGCTTAATCCCAAAACACAATGGCACAGGACAAACATTACAATTCCAAAAGGGAGGAGTAGCAGGATAGAAAAGAGATAGAGCAAAGCAAGACTAGAACTCAGGATGGCAAACATTCAGTTCTGTATCTCCAAGTCCGGCATTTAGGGCAAATGGTAGTGATACGTGAGTTTCAAAGGGCTTGGGCAGTCCTGTGCTATGGCCTTGCTGGTTGCAGCCCACACAGCCTCTTTCTTGGACTAGTTTTGCTCATGATCTGCAACTTTCCT